ATCTTACCCCATCACTCACTCTCCTATTCATACACACACTTCTCTAATACCTAATAGACATACCAAATAAGGTTTGTCACAGTAGGAAAGAAATATGAACCAAATTCCTTCGTCGCATAAGTATTGCCCTAAAAATTAATATTTATTATCGATCTGGTCTTTTTAATTTCATAGTGGAACGGGCTACAATAACGGAATTAATTTCGGAATTCGACTACTTTGGTTGAAACATATTCGGTCAAATGCCAATTTATGGCTCACTGGTACTTTCTTCGGCAGAAATGTCGCAATCGGTAAGACTTGTTGAAATCTGTGGGCATCAAATCATAACGAGCGAAACATTAATATCATTTTGAGGGAATTTAAGACCAATACAACTTAATAAGGCCACTTAAAGTTGTCAATAAAATAGATGTTAGACCCAACTAAGACAATATTGGGGTATGTAATGATTGCGACAATTTTTAAAATCACGAAAATATTTCGCTTGTGTGCCCGCTCGTGTTGCTGACGATTTTTTAGGCCCTTATACGTAACTTTTCTCTGTATTATTCTTTACAAATTGAGAATTTTGAGATGAGCACCAGTTTTGAAAGTTAACAGGCTAAGAGTATCAAAAGTTTCAAAAGCCAAGGGTTAAAAGCACCAGGGTTGAAAGCTAACAGACTAGGAGTATCAAAAGGTTCAAAAGACAAGGGTTAAGCTGTTCACAGTTCTAGTATTATTATTGTTTTACATTTTACCTGTAGAATATTTGGTGAAATATTACTGGCAAACTTTCGTTAAACAGTTCTGTTAAATAATAAAAAAAAATTATCTATCATTGATCTGTTGGTATAAAATATTAATTTACAGTCTTCAAAGAAACATCTGTTCAGTTGGCGATTTTGCATTTACTATAAATACGTGACCAAATCTAGCATTGGACAGTGTATCAACAAGTCTCTATAAATATAATGTTAAAACCATGAATAACCTATTATGTTCCGTTCTGTTGATTTCAGTTATACTTATTCTTACAGACGCCGGTAAATATTTTATTTATTATCTAAAAGTTGCTCTATGAATCTAAAGTCAAAGTTTGTATATCTGGGCGAAATTTATGTTAGCTTATTTTTTGTGGGAAGAGTCCGAGTCAGAAGAAATTTACTCAAGACAACTTTCTTTTCAGCAGCATGGATAACTAGCTTAAACACATTTTAAATCGTCTTTGTCTGTAAATAGTAAATTAACATGTAGTTCTTGATACAAATACTTGATGATATAATTGTCGGGGGGTAATGTATCGAGTCAAAAGTAAATAATGGCAACAAATATTATCAAAATTAAATTTACAGGTTGTTCGACGTATCCTAATATAACAGACGCAAATTTTGATA